TAATTTCCTTGACGAAAGTTGCAGGGAAAAGCGCAAGTCTGTCAGCAGCTGTTAAACTTTCATGCTTCAAAATCAGCTGTGTTGGTAACTGGGTTCCATTTGTTGTTTTGGACCTTGGAGCAGCAGTGACCAAGGAGACATACAGCCACATTGAACTGGTGGACAACAACGTGAAAACGCCCTTCAGTAAGAAGAGCAGACGCTTTAAAGATAGCATGTATATATCTCGAACAAGGAAAGTCGACGTAACGTTCACACACGTACACTGTGCTAACAACAAGAACGACCAAGCTCTAAGATGTATAAAGATTTATTCAGACGAGGCAAAAGTTTCCATAGATAATTCCGCTTTTGTCGGGCAAAATGCGAGCAAAGGCAATGGTGGTGCTATCTCCCTTGAATCAAAAAAGCATGCATCTTTAGTTGTGACTAATACCGTGTTTAAAAGAAACAAAGCTAACGCCGGTGGAGCTGTTTACCTCAACGTTGATCGCCGTGCGACATTGGGAAACATAAGGCTGAGTTTTACCAATGTTAACTTCACTGATTGCGTTGCTACCACGGACGGTTCTGCTATTCTGATCGGGAAAACGCACAAGCCGCAGTCAAAACCATTGACATACGCTTTCTATGCCTCACTTAAAAAAGTCAATGTGGAAAACTGCGTCAGCCATAAACTGAAGTATCGATTTGGAAGCTTTTGCCTCACGCTCCATAGCGGACTGATCATTTTGGACGAGTTCAATTGGACCAACACACGACAAAATGCGGAGAGTGCTGTTTACATCGGAACAACGGGAGGCAACACGAATGTAACGATCGTTCGATCTTCATTTGTTGGTGGAAAATCCAATCAAAGTGCTTTTGTTGGGGTCCAGATATTTGGAAAACAGAGAGGAATCGTCACGGTCAAAGATACTACCATGACTAACAATACGGAAGGCGCTCTAGATATCACACCTAAATGCAAAATCAGACTTGAAAACGTCACAGTAGCCTCGTGTAAGTACGGACTGCAGTTGTCCAAAAGATGGCTGAGTCAGGAAACAGATCCATTCCGTGTCAACATTTCCATCGCCAGTTGCAGATTCAAGCATAATGTCTACGACTTATCATTAAATATTAGCAATCCGCGATCAGTTTTTTTAAAAGTTATTGACTCGATCATGACAGGTCGGCCAAATCACGGTGATAAAAAAGGCTACGCAATTGGCCTCTTTGTTCCACCTTTGAAGAACACGAATTCCTCCAGCGTTGCTGCCATTGAACTAGACAGAGTAACTTTTCACTCTCGGCCGTCCAGTATCTTTGTGCTATATTTTAAGGGAAATAAAACACTAACAATACGTCGAACAGTATTTCGATACTGCACTGCTCTTAGTAGACAGCACTTGAACTTTGGCAAAAACACTTACATCTACGAGACATCAACAGGAGCTGTCTCGATCCTCTCCATTCCTGATAAACCCTGGAAACTAGGATGCGTGCAACAAGACGATATTAACAACACCCACCCTCTGTGGCGATACGAAAGCCAAGTGTCCATCGAAGATACATTATTCCAAGAGAATGCTGGGTTTTTCGCAGGCGCTGTATATATCAGTAATGGAAACACAACATTTAGAAACTGTTCTTTTCAAAATAATTTTTCGATTCGGAAAAGAGGGCAGGTGTATTCTGCCTATGGAACAGGCAGAGTAGAATTCAAACAATGTTCTTTCTCAAGCAGACAGAACAATAAAGTTATCGACAACAACAACTTAAAAAATGCTGCGTTCTTCTATTCCGAAAGTGAAGGGCCTATTGTCTTTCGAAACACGACAATGATCTCGACCATTCCAGAAAGGAAGTCGCACTATGTTCTTGAAATCTTTAGCGGAGGTTATGTGGACATCGATTACAACACAACAATACAGTGCAGCAAGGGGAGTATGCTGACATTTGAAAATGCGTCACACTTTGCTTACACAGAGAAGAGGAAACGATTCTGCAGAGTCAACGTTACAGTTATTAGGTATGCCTGCAAACTGTGTTCCTCCGGTTACTACAGTCTTGAAACCGGGAAGGCAAACGGTTTTTCTGTGAATAACTCGTTTGAGTGCCACCCTTGTCCGTTAGGCGCAACTTGCATGAGAAATGATATCAACATCGCAGCCAAAGCAAACTTCTGGGGATACGAAATGAGAAACTCACATCCTTCACCATCGTTGAAGTTTATTCCATGTCCTAACAACTACTGTCAATCCCCTAGCAGGAAATCCGCTGACTATAACAGTTGCCGTGGAAACAGGACTGGATATCTCTGTGGCAAATGCGCTTCGGGATATACAGAGTCGCTATTTACCACGAGCTGTCGTAAAATGAGTCAATGCAGTGACTATTTCCTATGGTTGGTGGTCATTCTGTTCTCGGCTGGAATGGCACTATATCTACTGACTAAGCCACCATTCTTGCAATTCTTAAGTTTGCGGCAGATCTTCTGGTTTATGAAAAACAGAGAGCACAATGAGGCCAGGGAGCAAAGAGGTCAAGTGAATGATGAAGAGACAGACAGTGGATACTTAAAAATCGTATTCTATTATTACCAAGTTGCTGACTTGTTCGTGGATGACTCACTCGCGGAAAAGCTACACGAACTCCCATTCGTGAACATTGTCTCATCTGCATACAACTTTCAAGTTGACTCTATTTACAAAGGTATTGGCTGTCCTTTTGTCGGATTGACTGCAGTGACAAAACAGCTCTTTCTTTCTTTGGCTGTTTTTACTACAATGGGGAATGTTGTCCTCATCTACTGCGTCCATTTTGTTGTTAACATGGTGCGAAAAAAGAGGATTCCATCAGTGCATCATTACATGGCTGCTATCTTGGAGATTTTGTTGCTAGGCTACGACAGGCTCGCCGAAACCTCCCTGAACTTGATGCATTGTGTTCCCATAGGATCTGAGCACCGGTTATTCATCGATGGAAACACTGTTTGTTGGCGATCATGGCAATATGTTCTTCTTGGCTATAGCGTGATCTTTGTGGTGCCCTTTATCGCAGTTCTCTACTATGGCTCTAAAAAGCTTCATAAGTCGTCCATTTCTGCAAGAACCTTTCTGGCGGCTTGTGTAGTACCTTTGCCATTCCTTGCTTACTGGTTATACATGCACTTTTGCAAGAAGAGAAGAGAGGATTCTGCAATGAGGCCAAACGATGACGATGGAGCAGGGGAAATCATTAAAGTTTTGCAAGGGCCATTTCGTCCTCCTAATGAAGAAGATCAAGGGACGCTGCACTGGGAGAGTGTTTTAATCGGTCGTCGTCTAATCCTTCTTTCAATTCACTCTTTCATCCCAAACGCCATGTTGCGTGTTCTCTTCTTGGCTGTAGCCTGCGAGCTCATGGCGATCCATCATTTTGTCAGAAAACCTTTCCAACATACCTCAGCCAACAGAGTGGAATCGGTGTCCTTGGTTGTGCTGTCCATCATGGCAATCATAAACCTCACACAGGCCACTCTTTTGTCCTCTGGGACCGCTGCTGTGGGAGAAAACAGGCTTTACATCGAGTGCATGCAATGGTTCCAAATTGGCGTCTTGGGTTTTGTCCCGGCCTTGTTGGCTCTGCTTGCTATCTTTGCAGCACTGTCGCTGCTAGTGCGTCTGGCCGTTAAACTCGTCAAAAAAGTCATTCGGTTCTTTAGCCCTAATAATGTTCTTGTAACAGACCCTCTTCTGGACTACCACAGACAAAACATTCAAGATGATTTTAGCTTCGATGAAAGAGGCGATTATTGACACAATTTATCAAGTAATGAGTTCTTCATGCAACTGTTTGCACTCGGCAACTCGAGAAAAAATTGTTACTCATCTAAAGAAACTTCAGCTTTTTCAGAATTATTTGTTATTGTTGCTGTCGATGAAGTCAAATTGTAGAATGTGAATATTTTATGACAACTATTTCTATAATTTGGGGCTTCTAGTCGAGTTCAAGTGCCCCAACGAGGAGGATGGCCAATGGAAACCATGTTATCGAAAAACTGACTACGAAGCTGTAAAAGTAAGATTACCTAAGTAACCTTAGTTCAAAATGCTATTAGGAAAATTTCCTTGCGTTGAACACTTCTTGTAAGTTTTTTATGTGTTTAAGTTGGACGTATTTGATAGGCAAATTCATCTTTAGATGCCCGCGAAAGTAAAACTTTACAGTGCTTTTGCAAGTTTTCAAACCCGTGAGATGAAACTTGTCAGTAGAGTTAAAATTAGGGAACAATAAATGATGATTAAACTTTGAAAAGTTTAAGCAACTTGTTCCCCGCCTTTTTTAATTTTTATTTTTTCTGATGTGTATCTTAAATAAAGCCGAAAATAATACTAAATGCATGTAAATGAATACACGAACAGCTGAATGGCCCTATAAAATAGAGATGTAAGCGGGGAACGCGGGAATGCTGAGGAAAATGAATTCACATTTTCAGTTAGTCATCACTTTTTAGCATTTGTTCCAAAGAGTCATGCGCGAACGTTAAAAAAAACAACAACAAATAAATGCTCTCACGGGGCCATGATGAAAATCTAGGTTTGTGGTAGGAAATTAATAGCGAAAAAACGGAGAAATTGATTAGAATTCTCTAGTGCGGAAACAAAACAACGGAGCCTGGGAATTAAATTATGCGAAGATGCGTATCTTACTTTGACCATAAGTTATAAAAAACATCATAACTTTAACCATAACCGCTGCTCACTAGTCACTAAATTGGTGCCGCAAACATGTTCTACCTCCAAAATTTTAATAGTTTCCATAACGACCAATACGGTCGCGGCTTAGAAAAAAAGACATCATCCAGGGGTCACTTTTTCTTGTCCCGTGGGTGTCCCTTGAATGAAGGTTCCACATTATTTCATTTTCTAACGGAATTGAAATATTTTGACACTGAAAATTTCCTTGTTAGTACTGCTTAAGCAGGGCTGTGGAAAATAAGTGACTGTTGCAGTTTAGATATAGTTGATTTCTCGATGGCAAGCCTTTGGCTGTTATCGTATCGTCTCCCCCTCGTCATGATCTTCCTTTGTGCAGGTAAGTTTTTATGTGCATGCCCTCATGTATTAAAAATGACTTACGATAGAAATGTTATGATGGTAAACGTCTGCGGTGTGGAAGAGCGATGTGGTTGCAAAATTCCATTTCAAATTTCGGTATAATATTTTGTGATTTGTTGTAAGGGTTTTTTTTTTTTTTTTTTTTTTTTTTCATCTGAGCGGATCTTCCACGAATCCGTTGATCGAACATTATGGTAATTAATAAATTTACCACAAGTAACTTAACTTAACTCAACTTGTTTTAAATTCACCTTTCTTGGATTTCAAAAGTTCACACACTTTAAGGAAACCATCAGGTTAATTGTCTAAATGAGGCCATTTCAACATAAAACGGGACCATTTTCTAACAGTGATCTCGAAACCTTTCCGTAGACATCCTCAGAGTTTAATTATTTTGCGGATTTAGAAGAAGTTCACTCTATGATAAACACAAAAAAAATTGCCTTGAGTTTTAATTTTGATGGTTGGTTTACGCTCACTGAAGTTTTGAACCTGTATAGGAAACGGAAATTTCATCACACAGATCTTTAGTATTACTGAAAAAAATTAAACCTATTCCTTCAGTCTTACAGACTAGCCGTAAATGAACGGTTGCGGTCAAATCTAGGGAGCTTAGAGATTTTATTTTTTCGCGGAACAAAGAAAAAAGACAAATTGAAGTTAGAGAACCGTGTACACGTAGCGAAGCAGTAAATTCAAACTGTAAATGGAAACCAGTGATCGTATCTCGTTCCCAGTCTTTTCGAGAAGCCCCCGTTTTCGCTGTGGCAATCCGAGTAATTTTATAGAACTTGATCCGTTGCGACGGTATCTGTTTGTGTCCTCGAGTAAGCCGCAAAGAATTCAGCGCGAATCAGCGAACGAACCTAACACATTGTATTCACTCCAACTGTTTTCCTCGCAATAGAAACTGAAAATTGAAAAGGAAATTATTTACTCAGCAGCCTACGCTAGTGCTATTTCGAACTTCTGCTTATTTCAGGGACTTCGGACTTGAAATTCTAAAAATATATATGTTTTTCAACTCAATTCAAACTTCACTTCGACTGCTTTTCTCGCGATAGAAACTGAAAATCGGAAAGGAAATTTACTCAGCACTAGAACTCCTTACAGGGATTGATATGAAATCGACCATTTAAAATTCTATTTCCGTGCTTACTCTCTAGGCGATGACTTTTTATAAATATATCTTACCCACCTGTGTTTGCAGATTGTTTTGTGTCACACCGACAAATTGTCCACGTTTCATTATTTGGAAATGACACGGAGGCATGCGGGGCCATGGAAGCACCATGCAGAACAATAGCAGTGGCAGCATTGCGAGTTGCGTCAGGTGGAACCATTGTCCTTAATGGGAACGGGACAGACCAGCAACCGTTCGGCTGTAAGAAACTACTTACGTTGCATTATCGTGGCATCCCGCAAATAACAAGGAACGTAACGATAACTAGTTTAGACTTTACTCGAGCCCACATACGATGTCTGACAGGGTTTTGTTTTAATCGGTCAGACCAAGATCTACGAGTCACTTTAACTGGAATAACATTCTTTGAAACACCCCTGAGATTTATAGACTGTTTTGAAATCACGCTTATCAACTGCACCCATCAGAACGCCACTGAAGCTGTCATTATAAACACTACAGCTAGCTCAATAGCAAATGTCACCATTCGAGGTTCTCTCTTTCAAAACAACTCTCTTTGCGCGAAAATACAATTTTTTGGAGGCTCTGAGACAAACTTGAAATTCTCTTTAGATATCGAGGACACTAAATTCCTGAACAATGGGATTTTAGATTACTTCAAAGCCTTTTACAGGGGTGCTCTTGTATTAAAAAGTAATATTTCTCGCAAGATTGATCTGTCTATCACTGTTGCAAAGGTAAAGGTCACTGACAGCGGCGGCCATTTTCTAGCGATCGACCTCCCCACAGCTAGTACGTCAGAGAAGTACGATGACGTCGTCCTTGAGCGGAACAGCTTCGTTATCTCTCAGAGGAAGTCTCGTAGTCTTTACTATTCAATAGTGCAGAAAGCCAAAGTAACATTTCATCGTTTACAGTGTAAGGATAATGATCAGGTTACGTGTTTAACAATCTTTGGAAGGATAAATGGAACAGTTTTAGTCAGAGTTCACGAATCCAGTTTTCACAATAACAGTGCATACCAATCAGGGAATAAAGTATTGTATGCGGCAATCTTTAGAGTTGCGGGAAGCGAAAGTCATTTTGGAACTGTCATAATTTCTAATACATCTTTTGTCAAAAACAATCGAACGGCTCTAAGCTTAACTCCTAATTTTTATTTAGCTTTAGTCAACGTAACCGTGTCTTCTTCGCTGAATGGTTTGAGAATCTTCCCCTGGGACCCGCAAAATAAAAACAATTTTCATCTAAATGTTACTATTGAAGGCTGCAAATTCCAGAATAACACTTACGACATATCTGGAGTATTTAACAACACCATTAATATCGACTTTCGGGTGAGAAACACACTGTTTGACGGTAAAGAAGTACAGAGGTACGAGAACACCTCTTTTGGTATCCGTCTTATTATACCTCGTTTGGAGAGGGCAAATTTTTCTCAAGCAGCAATTGAAATAGAAGATGTGACCTTCAAAAGCAGGCCTAGCAATTCGTTTGCGTTCTTCTCCAAGGGTAACCACACGATCAAGATTCGCCGTTGCTTGTTTCGAGAAGGGTTTGGTCTTGAAATAGACGAATGGACGAGAACATATTACAAACACATGCCCACTTATATGAACAGCCAAGGGGCACTCATGTTCCTTTTCGATACGGATGAAATAGAGAACAGAGGATGTGTCGATATTGGTGTGACAAACGATACCCATCGCACGTGGAAATACTCCAGTCACGTCTTGATCGAGGATACCTTGTTTCAAAATAACCTTGGACACATGGCAGGGGCTGTTCAGATCATCAATGGCTATGTTAAATTTCGAAAATGCAAGTTCATTAACAACTTTTCCTCGGGAAAGACAGGACAGATTTATATTGGATTGGGAAGCGCCAAAGTTGAGTTTAACAGCTGCGTGTTTAAACGAACGAAACAAAAAGAGGAGTTCCGAGGGATTACGTTTACTTTCAGCAGATTTTTGTATTCAGAGAGTGGAGGTCCGTTAAAAATACTCAACACCTCTTTTCACTCCGGTATGGGCAGCAGATTTCTGGACGGGCATGTTCTATATATATCATCTGGAGGCTACTTCGAGATGGACTCCAGCTCAACAATCCAATGTGAAGTTGGCAGCGAACTCGTCTTCTACAATTTCTCTCATTTTATTTACTACGGAGGAGATGATAGACAGTTTTGTCCAATCAATTTAACAACTGAGTTATTTAAATGCAGAATGTGTCCCTATAGAAAGTACAGTCTTCAACGTGGTTTCTCTAAAGGACTAGAAGTCAGCAAAGGCTTCAGATGTCAAAGCTGTCCATTTGGTGCCCACTGCCATGGACTCAACAACATTCTGGCAAAGCCCAACTTCTGGGGCTACAAAATCACCAATGCTAGTAACATTTCATCCTTAAAATTCGTACCTTGTCCATGGGAGTATTGTCATCCTCAACGCAAAGATTTATATCACGGTAATGATTACAACAGTTGCCGTGACTTTAGGTCCGGTATCCTGTGTGGAAGATGTGCCACAGGATACTCAGAAACGCTTTTCTCGTCAGAATGTCGACAATCCCACAAATGCAGATGGAATTATCTTTGGATTCTTATGGGACTTTACACCGTATTGTTTACCATTTATCTATTGAAGAAGCCTCCGCTCGTTCTGTATTTGAAACGTCAAATTTTGTGGTTTAAAACAGATCGACAGACCCCTTACGAGATGGAGGAACGTTCATCTCTGCACGGAGCTGAAGAACCGGAGTATGGTTATATAAGGATCTTCTTTTATTTTTACCAAGTTGCAGAGTTACTTCTCACTGAATCATTGGAGAACACATTGGCCAATGTTCCCTATATTTCCACCTTAGTTGCTGCTTTTAACTTTCAAGTCCACGTTTTGGACGAAAACCTCGGCTGCCCATTTGCCGGCCTCACAGCAGTGACCAAAGAGCTGTTCCTATCCTCCCTCGTTTTTGCTGCTATTGCGCAAGTTTTCATCGTTTACTGTCTTCACAGGTCGCTGAATCTGGTAATGGGAAAGGGAAGACCATCATTCACTCATTACATCGCGGTTGCTGTAGAGATTTTGTTGCTGGGCTACGAGCGCCTAGCAGAAACATCTCTTAAACTCATGCAGTGTG